CGCTTCAGACTTCCTTACACAACTTACCATCCCGAACCTGAAGCCTTCCAACAATGACGCGGGTACAGGGCCGTGTGTTCCACCGTGTGGCTTTTGCCTCGACGTCGCGCGCCTTCGTCTCAACGTCACTGCTTCACTCCCGACAGACCCCCAGCTGCTCTTCCCCCTCCCCCTCCTCCTCCTCCACCCCTCCTCCCCCCCTCCTCCTCCTCCTCCTCCTCCTCCTCTCTCCTCCTCCTCCTCCTCCTCCTCCTCCTCCTCCTCCTCCTCCTCCTCCTCCTCCTCCTCCTCCTCCTCCTCCTCCCCCCCGAACAAGTCAAAGCGTGTGGATTCAAGCTGTTCTTTTGCGTGAGCGCCGCGAACATTCGCCTTGCAGGCTTCCAGCACACGAACGGAGGGCCGGTCGTTTCCAAGATGTGGCTCTCCCCTGAAACATCGACAGGACACTGCTGCTACAAGCGTGGTCCTGTGCAGCAGTCGAACGGATGGAGGGCGGTTCCCTTGCAAGAAGTGGACTCTCGCCGGAGACTTCGGAATACATCCACATGCCGAAAGTTTATCCTCTTGGACTAAAAATATGAGAACACGAGGGGGAGGGAGGAGGCACGAGGAAGGGGGAGGAGGGGAGAAGAGACGGGAGGAGGGAAGAGAGAGGAGGAACAATCAGGGAGGAGGGGGGGAGGAAGGAAGAAAGGGGAGGAGAAGGAGGAAGGTTGCGGAAGGAGGAAAGAGGAACGAGGAGGAGGCAGGGGGAGGAGGGAGGTTGGAGGAGGAGGGAGGACGGGGAGCATGAGGCCACACAAGCAAGATGTCAAGATGGGAAGCTCGCGCAGCACAGCGGGCCCGGCCCCCTCCCTCACTTCCTCCCATTACCATACGGCACGCCCCAGGCCGAAGAGAACGCTACATGTATCCGCGCACCTGAACGGCACGTCGCTTTAGACATTTGGGGCTCAAGAAGAAAATCTTTCGGTCTGCGTAAGTATTTGCAGCCGGCCGTGCACACACAATGCAACAGCTGCACGGATGCGGGGCGGTTCCTCCGCAAAGCGGGGCGTCCTTGCACTACGAAGCAATGACTCGTGGTACCAGAGCATGCGGGCGCTTCGCGCGCTCAGGCTCCAGCTAGGCGCCAGCAAGGGATTTGCGGTGAAGACATGGGCGTGAAAGTAGGTGCGAGAGAGTCGACAATTTGTTGAAGATGCACTCACTGTGTGGCAGACGGAGACAGACTAGGTGTTTTACCCTTGAGCCACAATTGGTCACGGACAGAAGCTCCTGACGCTGAACCTATCAGTGAAAATCTGCCTCACTGCAACACTGGTCAAACTTTCTTCTAGGTTCAGCTCTCCCCATGTCAGGAGAACTGTGACCACCCATTCGCGGAAAAGCACAGTACACGGTGGCGGCTCCCCACGGAAGCCTCCGTCCCCCAGGACGGCCGTATTCACGAAAACAAGGTGAGAATCAGAGCAACAACGGAGGACTATTGAAATGATGGTGGAGGTAGGCCGGGAGGAACGTCCGGCCAAGAGGGAGAGGAATGGGAGGAGATAGGACCACCACCACCGCCACCACCTACCTGGTAGAGCTCCTGGTCCCGGAACTCCTGCCACGACAGCATGTTCTGACTCCGGGCCAGCTGCCGCTTAGACGCCAGCTGGGAGCGATCCTTGAGCTCGGGAGCCTCTCGGCGGCGATCCAGCTCGGAGCTCTCGTCCACCAGGATGAGCCGGCCTCGAGTCATAAGGTCGGCCAAGGCAGCATTGCTCTTGGTGATGTCATCCTTTGTCAGTGGATCCACTGGCATCCTGCCATGTGGGATCCATCGCACGCTTCCTCGCGCTCGTTCTAGTGCTTCGCAGATGATAGCGAGGTCCAGTGCAGTGCGCCTGTCCTTGGCGCTGGCGTTCCCTTCCTTCAGCATCGTGTCGTAGATGGACTTTGCATCCACGACGTGCACCTGGTTCTCCCGGGACCCCAACTTGCAATCCCTACGAAGCACGGTGGTGAAGGGCCCTGAGGCCCTCCTGCACTCAGGGACGTCCACATCCTGGAACATCACATCCCTGTAGAGCACCTGGAGGTACTCCACCTCCGCCACGGCGGCGGACAACGCCTGGGTTTCCCCGGCCAGGGTGGACGGAACCTTACGCCGTAGCTTACTGCTCCTCCACCCCAGAAATGACGCCTTGACCGAGCTGTTCAACAGCACGGACTTGTCAGTGGCCAGCACCAGCCATGCCCCCTGGGTTGGGTCGGCCGGGAGCCCCCGGTCATCATTCATCTTGATGTCAGCTCCTACTCCCCCGGCGTCTGAAAATGACACAAACGCCATACGGTCCGGGTCCAGGCTCCAAATCGTCAGGCCTCTAGAGGCCGTCGTCCGGAGATGTTTGACCAACTTGTTGGCACAGGAAACGTCATAAATCGTCGCGCTCTTCAGACGACTGGCCAGGATGGACGCGATGCCGGTAGCCGGTCTGGATTCCCTGCCGAC